TTGCGATTTTCTAGGCTGATATGGCTAGGAACTATACTCTCATTCCGGTGTAATAATCAAGGAACTTTGCTGCCGTACCATGGGTGCAGCAGACCCAATGATATTACGCAGCGCCTGAAATTGTCCCCAGCTAGGTAACTTCCAATGGAAGGCACGCTCCGTGCAAGCAGGTGGTCACGTTGGTTATGTTGGCGGAAGTTAGCCTATTTTCAGGCGCTGCGTAATATCATTGTGCCTGCTGCACCCATGGTACGGCAGCAAAGTTCCTTGATTATTACGCCGGAATGAGAGTATAGGTCCTAGCCATATCGGCCTAGAAAATATAAACTTTTCATTTTCCGTCGGTCTTAGTACACGATGTAACTACTGAAGAGTCAAGTTTTAAATAGGAAAAATATCGAAACTCTTTGGTCATTTTTGAGCGAGATGCTAATGGTCTAATCAGATTCAATGATCTATGCTAAGCTGCAGTTAAAAGTGCTACCGCCAGACCCGGAGATCGGCTGAATGGTTTCGAAAACGGTAAAACTCAACTGTTTAACTCTAGGGGAGTTGGAAAATGAAAATAATTTTCAAAAATAGTGGAGTGTTCCTTTAAACTCACTAAGCTTTCTAATATGAAGACACACTAGAATTCCACTTTTATAAAATTATCCATTTTTATATGAATGTACTTATTCCAAATACTGTCTACTGGGTGCCCAGAGTAGATGTATATCTCTGTGCAGGATGGGGATATCCCTCCTCTCATTCTCTCACAGGATGAGTGGACGTTTAAGATATAAACATCAAATAAACCCAAGTGACAAAAAAATTGTCTGGAAAAAAAAGAAAGAAAAAAAACTATATATCATGCTAAGCTGGATAGTAATCATGAAAATTTTTTAAGCATTATCACTAATAGTATACAGTATTAGTATTATTATTACTATTATTATTCAAATTATGGTTTTTATTTTATTATCATTTAAAGATTTCATATAATTTATTATCATTAAAATTTTATCATATCATTTAAAGATTAAACAAATTAATAAAGAAATGTATTACTATTGTACTGTAAAATAAAAAACAAGTATTTATCATATTAGTATTATTATTCTCTGTTTTTGACAGATTTATAAATTGAGTATAAATTCAAATATAAATATACAGTATAGTATAAATTCAAGTATGAATTCAATTTATATTTGATTAAAAACTGAGATTCTCATTGTCATAAGCAATTTCAAATGCACGTCATAAGTGGCCCAACAGTGATTGCAGAGTTGGAGTTTGTCTGGAGCAGCATTTAATGCAAACCAACAATTATTTACACACTATTTATATAATTACATCACAACCTTATATAATCTCACCAACACATATATGTGTATGTTTCATTCACTCATTAGAGTCATTAGTTCAGAAACTGGTCTACAGTTTTGTTGATTGACTAAATAGAAAACTCTGTCTCTGATTATTTTAGTAGGGTATTCCGTCCACATTGATGGAAGAATGGGCATGATCTAACGGAACAGAAAGCCAGTTTGAATAAGAACCAGTTCTTGTTCCAAGCCTAATGCTGCCATGACCTTGCTAACTGGTTGCACTTATGTGATGCTTTGTGGGTGTCATTGGAGGAAAGAAAGTTTTGGTTTTGTGGGTGTCACTGGAAGAAAGTTTTGGTTTTGAAGGGCAATTATTTGTACTTTAATTACAGGGTACCTTTTTAATTTAGCTCTGTCTAAAATGACGGCAGCAGTCCTCAACCATTTGGATTGAAGTCTTAATAAGTATAATTTGCCTATGGTTTGTACACAAACAGGAACTGGTGTGCCTACGTAGTAACAAAGACTGTAAGCTGTGTAATGGAAGATGGAGTGGAAACGTATGTGAAACCTGAATACCAGCGCTGTGCTTGGGGCCAATGCTCCCATGTGGTTTTGTAAGTATTCATGAGACAAAACTCAGCCAAATTGCATTTCATTTAATCTTGGCTACCACTTGCTGTTATGACAGTGTCAAACTGGAAAGGTTTGGAACATGTCCCTCACTCAACTAGATGTATGTCCACCAGAACTATGTGTGGAATGAGATGGGAGAGAAGTTGAGACAGAAATCAGTCTCAGATGAAACTGCTAATGTACCAGAAAGTTACTTGTAATGTTGTTATATTACTCATTTTTTAGAGAACATATTTCAGTCATAAGTCCAAGATGAAGCTGAGCTTTTTCTTAGGTCTCAATAAATCTCAGTTTTATCCACTATCTTCAAAGAAAGCCATAATATTAGTCCCCTATAAAATACAGAAGCCACATCACAAGTATGTATAAACAATGTTCTAATAATAGCAACAACTGCACTTGAAAATTAAGTAGACACAAGAGGCTTGCCAGAGCAAAGCAAACACTTTCAAAGATTTTAATGATGTATTGAAAGCTTTGACTCAAGAAAATAACAAAAACGTGCCCAGAAACAACAGCTCAAAGAAAAAGAAGAACAGGCCTTTATTGTACTGTTGCCCAGCAGAGTTGTGGCCTTTGGAAAAGCGATACATAGCCAAGGATATGAACGGAAAAGGAATAGTTTATCTGCCTACTTGAGACATTAGAGACTCTCTGGTTAAAGTCCTGAAAGATGATTAAATTAAACTTGACAACTTTAAGCGGAATCACAGAAGTACACATTTGTAAAAGCTTAATTTTCACAGCAAAAACACGATACAGAGACCATATTCAGAGTTTTAGCTCTTGCTAGAACTGTATATGATGAAATATCTCACACCACAGGTATCGGACTTACAGAAAACCACGGTACAAGGTTGCCTATAAAATGGTCACAGAGATGGAATGGAAGTGCTGTCACGGCTACTCAGGTGATGATTGCAGTGATGGCAGGGGCAGAACTACTGGTGAAGAAGGTATGACGTTACACCATTATCACCAGAACTCATAAAGTTAGTCAAGTTGATCTGACAGGGTGTGATTTTGAGAATATTTTCAATTCTGCAGTATTCTGTTGTAAATGTTTTGTATTATTATTATTTTTTCTCTTCATCAATAAAAAATGCTTGACAGGTACAGTATATTTTTAGATACACTTCCACTCAAATGTTTGGACATACCTATATGATTAAAATAAATGCGTCCAAACTTTTGAACTGGTACTGGTCTCAATTCGAATTAGTAAATGTCAAATAACTGTAAATAACTTGTGCAATCAATGTCCTTCAATAGGGAGAAGTGACAGTGACAAGATTAGACAACTTGAGGAACAAATTCACAACCTCCAGTCAACCTTATACAGCATGAATAAGAAATTACATGAGGAATCTCAAAGGGAAGGCATCAGTGGCAGCAACAATCTGGCCGACGCTGCCCAGCCAGGGATGAGGGAGACCATTCACAGCATCCAGACCAAGCTGGACATGCTGGACAACATGACACAGGTCCATGACAGAACCCTCACCAGCATCAACAACCACCTTGTGGGCGGCAATGGAATTGGAAATGAGTTGGACAGTCGCTATGGCACTCTTAAAGAGGAGATTCTGAGGGAGCTGGAATGGCGGGTGACACTGTCTTGCTCGTCATGCCAAACCGGAGTGGAGAGCATTCAAAGACAACAGCAGGAAGACCAAGAGAGGATCCGAGCACTGGAGAAGCACATTAGTGTGATGGAGCAGCACCACCAACAAACTGTAGATTTGCTCAAGAAGGAGCTATCACACTATCAGCGTTGCTGTGATTCCCTGAGCGATCTGGACAGGAGGCTTGGTGCCACTGAGAGAAAGGTCAGTTCAACTGCAGAGACGTATGATATCCTTAGAGAGCGTCTTGAGAAAGAGCTGGGAGGATCAGGCAATGGCAATGGCAGTCGAGGAAAAGCGCTTGATGAAAAACTGAACAGCCGTCTTAGAGAACTGGAGAGGAGACTGAATGGGACTGTGAGAAAAACCGAGCAAAAATGCTCCCATACTGAGACAAGTATGAAGGAGTTTGTCCAGCGAGAGATTGGCCAGATTAAGAACTCTGTCCTCAGTCGAAACGACGATCATATTTATAGAATATCTACTGTGGAGATTGATGTCCAAGACTTGAAGCGTTTCATTAACGATCACAAAAATGATCTGGAAAGGTTGGGGAACAAAACAACTGATCTTGACAGCAGGCTCAAGTCGGCGATTAATTTGTGCACAGAGACGTGCGGTCCAAAAGGGAGTGAGACAGCAGATACTGTGAAAACTCTCGAATGGAAGGTTGTTGCCAATGAGGAGAACATTAAGAGGTTTGACACCAAACTAAAGGATTTAAGTGTGTCTGGTGACTCTTTATTGGACCGTATTATAGATCTCAGCCATGACGTTCAAAAAATTAAGGATCTGACAGGACATAATGGAGAGCACTTTAACCAAATCGTCACCGATGTGAAGAATAGGTTACGTGATTGTGACATATGCAATTCGATAGATGAGGAACTTCGAAAAATAAGAAACTTAACCAGCCATGCTTTTAACACGTTCCAGGGAGAACTTACAGATTTGCGCAGAAAGGTATATTCAGATGAGTATGCTTGCTCTCAGGTATGCTCAAACCTCCAGGAGGAAGTGGGCAAACTGAAAGAAGAGGTAGAGAAATGCACAGGCCAATGCGTGATCAGCATGGCTGACCATCAGAGGAACATAGATAATCAAAATACGATCACTCGCAAGCTTGGCAAAGACCTCAAGTCCATTCAGGGTGAGCTCATAGGGGTAATCCAAACGTTCAGCTCCATCAATGACACTCTGAAAGGCCTCAGGAATACCATACAGGGACATGGCAACTCTATTTCTGATCTGGACTCGTCTAAGGAAAGAATTTACTCAGAGTTAGATCAGATACAGGATGATTTGAACAAGCACAAAGAAGACAGTAAAGTGCGTTTCGATGGCATCAGTAGATTTAACAGCAATTTGAAGACTGAAATGGGAGAATGCAAACTTTCTCGAGAAGGGCTGGATAAGAGGCTCTCGAAGATGGAAGATGTCTGCGGTAGACTGGATTCCATGTCAGTAAACCTTCAGATAATCAAAGATGGCCTGAACAAACACGTCTCTGGGCTTTGGACATGTGTTAATGACCTAAACTCCACAGTTATCTCTCACGGTGAGGCCATCGACAGCATTCAGAATTTTCACTTAGAGAACATTCACGGCAAAATGAACAACCTCAACTCTTCCATACTGCATGTTCTCAAGGAGTTCCAGAGCTTCACTGAACAGGACTTTACTGGTATGTTACATATGTCAAGACAAAAACAAATTATATAATTTGTGTTAAGAATTTGTAAACCTATGTAAAACAATTGGATACTTTATACCTCAACTATCCATTTTTTAGTTGTTTTTGAATGAAAAACCAAGCAATGTCTTTTGGGCCAATCCTCAGGATCTCCTGGACCACCTGGTTCTCAAGGAGAGAAAGGATCCAAAGGACCACCTGGGCCACGAGGACCTCCAGGCAGAGAAGGACCACAAGGGAGAGTGGGGCAAATAGGACCCCCAGGTAAATAAATGAGATGAGAAAATTAATAAATATATAGATTTTTTTCACAACATTACCAGAACAAGATTTTATATTGTCAAATTACTTATATTTTTCTATACATTTTCTAATTTGTCTCTTATTTAGGCCTCAGAGGTGAACAAGGTCAGTGTTCTTACTATTACTACTGCTACGACTACTAATAAAATGTTCTACTAATAAAATGATATTTCTACCAATTTTTCTCTATTCTTCTCCTGCTTACCAGGACCTCCTGGAGAGGATGCAAACGTCCCAAGACTGTCATTCTCAGCAGCACTCACACGACCGCAACCCAATGCAGGCACTATTGTCTTCAACAAGGTCTTTGTCAATGAAAGAAAGGCCTACAATCCAAAGACAGGTATGTATGTTAAAGACAAGCATATAGTGTGTGAATTAAGGTCTGTCATAATCATAAATTCTCTCACTAAATATATTTTGACAGGTATGTTCACTGCACCTGTGAAGGGGCGATACTTCTTCAGTGCAGTCCTGACAGGTCACAAAAATGTCAAGATCGAGGCAGTCTTGTCTAAATCCAATTATGGAATTGCCCGTGGAGATTCAGCAGGCTATCAGCCTGAGGGTCTTGAGAAACCCATGGCAGAGGCACGGCACACTCCTGGCTCCCTGGTCATCTTCAACATCATACTTCCTCTGCAGGAGGGAGATAATGTCTGCATTGATCTGGTCACAGGTAAACTTGCCCATTCTGTGGAGCCCCTTACAATCTTCAGTGGAATGTTGCTCTATGAAGAAACAGACGACAGATTGTGAGACCCATCTGAGACTCTTTGTGAGGACAATGTCAGATGTAAAAATTTGTATCTGGACACAATACCTTTTTTGAAGAACAGTATTCAGTGTTGAATAAGGTTTATGATACAAATTATATATGCAGGTTTATTTTATAACAGGCCATAAGGAAACAAGATGGATATATTTTTGATTATGATATATATGATTATGTTTTTTTACACTTACATTGGCAAATCATATATTTTCATATAATGTATGTGAGCAGCAATGTTTGCTTATATTACAATGCAATTGAGGACGGCAAAGATCTTTCTAAAAAAACTACCACATCCATGTTACTTGTTGCCCCAGAAGAGATCAGAATGACTGGACTCAAGTTTACATAATTATCTAATAAACTAAAAATCTTTATTTGATCTGACCCTACAAACCTTCATCATAGTAGTTATCTGAATGTATAAAGATACTGTGTGGTTGTCAGCAGTGCGTTGCTAGACCCTTGAAATACCCATATGCCCCAGTAAACATTACTGAAAAACAATTGTATGAGAATGGAAATTGCCATTTACTGACATGATAATCATTTTGCCTGATAATATTTCAGCAATCATGTTGTGTGTTCTATCAGCTATTTAGGATCATATGTCAGATTCAGAAAGTAAGCACTCTTGATCTAACTGGTCAAATGGTTCTAAATTGATTTTTGATTCATTCAGACAGTTCGCTCATACACTGAATAATTTGCAGCAGTTTCTCAAACCGAAAAAGAAAACAAAAAGATCACTGGATGAGGTGGATATTTACCTACAATACATTGTAAGAAACAAAGCTTGCAAATGTCTTTTAACATTTATCAGTGATTAAACAGCACATGCAACTTGTGAATAACTCTGTAAAGATATTTTATGATATATATAACAGTAAAAAAAAAAAAAAAAGTAGGCAGTGCTGTGCATAATATAGTGTATTCACATGCACAATACAGTGTGTTTACATTACTTCCCAAGTAAATCAATAAATACATGGATTTTTTTTTTTTTACATTTGTAGAGAAGAATGAGAAACGGAACATGAGAATAGATACAGTATGTGGGAAATACCTTTCAGAAGCAGGCCATTTTGTTGTTGTTTTGTGAGTTTGAAAAGGTTTTATCAACTAAGAACTTCAGGATCTTTAGTAAAAAACAAACTATTCTGTATGTAGATGTTGTGATAACCAATCTTGCCAGTAACTGAGAAAAGACTGCGAGAAATCCAAGCTAATCCTAGAAAATTAGACTATATATACACAACACAAAACACAAAAACCATGGCCAACATATTGTATGTGAAAAGCATAATATAATGAATTTTTTTGAAACATCACACCATGTATACCATTATCCCCTTCTACTTTCAAGCTTCACTAAAATACACCTCAAGAAGAAGGAATCCAGAGACCATGAAAATATATAGATCCGTATGTACTGTTGGTGTGGTTTCATTTAAAAAAATATGTTTTTCCCCTCAAAGGCTCCATTCAGGTTTTTTAAAGATGGATACAATAAATATTACACATATTTTCTATTATTTCCCATTTCCTCACTGTGTTATATTTGCAGCACATTTCTTAACTTAATCTCCAAATTTGGAAAAGTAACTATAAAAGGATGGATTCAAATAAAGCAGGCTGTGCAGAGAGGGACATTTTTAGACATGCCAGAGGCTATAGTTCAGGAATCTTCTGTAACCCATTCTCTGGTGACTCTTCCAAAGAAAACCATGAAAGCTGTTTGTGCTAGATGCAGAAAAGATTTCATCCTGGCTATCTTTTTTTTGTCAATGGATTTTTTTTGTCTCTTTGGACCGCAGATGTTCTCTAAATAGCAGATGTTCTCTAAATAGACTAACAGCTCAGAATCTGTATCTTTGCCAAACATGTATTTGCATGACCTTAGCTGTCTTGGTGGTCTATGCCTAATGTTTTCTTTAATACAAAGGGATTTAAATGGACTTTAAAGGACTTTACACTGAGTCTAGTACTGTGAGATCAAACCTGGCCCACTCAGTCACTTTTATCCCTCAGAAGAGAGAAATTCCTTAAAGCGTCTTTATAAATATTACTTCTGAATGTTTCATTTTGCAGTAAGACAGCTGATTTGCTCAATTTGCAATTGGGACCAGGTTATATCAGCTGCCCAGGCATAACCTGAACCATTTTTTCAAATCTAATATTTTTAAGTTTCATCTCATTTCTCACTACAGGCATTACAAAACAGTATTATAATTATGCAAATAAAGTGTATCTGACTGCTGTGCAATCCAAACAGTCCTCAAATTATTTTCAGCCATAACTTCTTCAAAGCTGAATGTTATATAATGGATTTACAGTATATTTGCAATGCTAGTTTTTAATTAAAATATTTTTCACAAATTTCTCCTGTATTAGTAATTTTTATTCAGATTTTCTGCATGTTGTTATCATAGACAGACTATATGGTTGTTATGCAGTTGCTACCCTTCCCTTTAACCCCTCCAAACTCTAAAACCCCGCCCTCCAAGGACACACTAGCCAATCCCAAAACATAAAAGGCAGATTGTGTTCTCTCATTGGCTAAAAAAGTGCGGGCCACTCTACTTATGGTGAATTCGCGCCCTCTAGTGAACGATCTTAAATCTTTGCACATATTTCATCAGATATACAGCTATATTGTGAACAACTTTAAAAAATCTTCAAATTAAGCAGCAAGGTGCAAAAAAAGACTTTAGGAAAATCGGGTCCCCAAAATATCAGATGGTCGAAAATTCATTTTTATTTAATATTCATAGGGGAACATTATTTGCATAAAAAGAAATGTGTTTGTTATGAAAAATCATGTAAATATTAAAGCTAAAGGGCATACATTAGATTTGGGATAAGTCGTCACATATTTACACAATGGAAGTAAATTATTCATAATTTAATGTTCTTTTTTCTTTCTTTTAAATTTTCCTTTCTAAAGGAACCTACATCTTATATACAAGAGACTAATAATTATGAATCTACTTTCAGGCATGTTGTGCCCTACTATTGCACCTTGATAAAAATCTCAAGTGAAATTAATTAAAAACACAAGGAAAACAACTACAAATGCTACCATAAAGTTTTTAGATTTTCAGGTTCATGATGTCATGCACCCTGGCCAAGGGAAGGCTTGAAGTTTTGCAGATCTATCGGCTGCTTCAGTGCGTCCAGGATGGAGATAAGCCATACATAGAGAAATTAATCAGCATGGGTGTTGATGACCACATAAACCTCACTGAGCCATGAGGGGAACGGCGCCCTGCACCTGGCATCAGTGGCCAACAAACCTGACATGCTGTGGTTCCTCATAGCTCAAGGTGCCCGTCCAGACATGCAGGACAGGAGGGGGAGGACACCCCTGATGCTGGACGCAGAGCTCGGATATGACAGTATCGTGTCTCTACTGGCCAAGAACAACGCACACATGAAACTTGTACACAAAGAAGGGAAAGGCCTTTTTTTAAATTTTAATTTATAATACAGTTTATCTGCCACTTTTTATCCATTGCTGTCCATAAAAATATGCATGCAACTGTTAAAAGTTTCTGTCAGTGCCAGGGGCAATATCAATGTACTGTATAGACTTTATCTGTGAATACACAATTTATTTATCAATATACAATATCTCTCCTTCTCTCTAGGGTTAGATATTAATGAGGCTTCCAGTAACTGACACCTCACCAACAATTATTCTTCATAAGACAATTTGACAGCAACCACATAGTCAACAGAAATCATCAATGGCTGGCAGCATCCTGCCATTTTGGAGATTTACTGTATGCGGTCTATCTAATTACAGATCAGGGAACGGCCAGTAAAACTAGCGTGTAAACCGATCTGAGTAATCCGTACTCTGGCTTCTCTCTCAGGCTTGCTTTTCAATGCCCTGGATAAGAAGTGATTCCATGCAGCTCACTTTGCGGCTGAAAGAGGCTTCTTTGAAGTGAGCACCACTTTTGTTGTTGTTTAACAATTATATAAAGAGTGATAAATTTTTTTTGCTGTTATTGAGTGAAACTGTCCTAGCATTTGGCTATACGTCTATGTATTTCTCCCAGTGATTGTCATTACTGCTTTTTTCCAGATCATAAAGGTGTTGTCTGCATATGCAGCAGACTTTGGAGTGGTAACATCAGAGGGGGATACACTGCAGCACTTTGCTGCCTCTGGTGGTTACACAGATTGCTGCAGGTTTCTAGCTCATAGAGGTAAATCAATTTATTTTAAGCCAAACAGAATCATTAAACCGGGGGAGAATGGCTGCTTGTTACTATTTTTTTAAGCAGATTTCTGTAAATTCTCAATGACAAAAAGGATATCAATAGTACAACAACTGACTATACCTAAAAACAACAAAATAGGGTATAATTCACTGTATTTTTGATTATTTTTCTTTATTTTTTCTACATTTACTTTAGTTATTAGGAAAATGTATTATCCTTTTATTACATGCACCAAATATATTCACACTCGTGATGTGTTCGTAAAGTACTCATAAACTGGCTGTTGTCAACAAAAGATAAGCTTAAAACAGCTTAAAACAGCCATAAATATTAGTATTGTAATTTTACTGTTGTTATTATATGATTTTTATATTATTGCAATATTTCTTATTTTATTAAAAAAAAATATTTAGTAATAATAATAATAATGAAAAATTGTGCAATATTTATTATCGCAATTAGATTTTTCCCCAAATCCTGCAGCCCTACATAAAAGCAGTCATGCTTCTTGATGTGGAACAAGTTGAATTTGATTTGAAATACTATATATATATTATATATATTATATTTGATCCCTTGAAGATTCTAATTCCTACTTTAGGATGCAATCCCAAACTGAAGAACCAAGAAGGCCTGCTTCCCCGTCAGATCGCTAAGGACTGTGGTCACAAAGCCAACGTAAAAGAGCTTAAGAAGGCTGAACGACTGCATGGAAAGTTCTCAAAAGAAGCGGGTGCCACAAATGAACCATGGGCTCTGACGCTTCACGACTGGTCGCATGAAAATGAGAATGCACTGAGAAGTGCTTTCGAGTCAGCATCAGAAGGCTGCATGGGAATAGAGATGGTGTCAATGGCAACATTTGTGCCTGTTCTTCAGGAACTTCACGCTCCTCTAGATGATAACTAAATTCATCCTCTTCTGCTTGCTCTCGATAAGAGAAGAGAGAGCTTTATAAATATAAGTGATTTCCTAAAAGGTCTCAAATATCTTCCAAAGACATATGTTATGGCCTCTTATGGGCCTAAGAAGAAGAAAGCAACCAAGACAGGAAAGACCAAAAAGACTAAGTTCAATGCACCCATGACCATCTTCACTGTCCCGCCTGATCTTATTTAACAGCGTGATGATGGTGGGCCACCACATTTTATGACTGAAAGTTACCAGCATGCTACAGACACCCACAGATATGACCGGGACCATCGACCAGGACATCCTATCGAAGATGATACAGCATGATGGTACATCGATGAGCTCGAAAAGATATACATAAATATGAACTACTGTGTTAAAACAGGAGATATTGAGTCTCTTAGGTTGGCACTCAGCCAAAAGGTTCCTGTAGATGTGAAAGATCGCTTCTACAAGACACCACTCATGCCTGCATGTGCAAGTGGCAAAGTTCCTCCTTGATAACGGGTAAGTTTAGTGAATGTATAAGAATTTACGGATAGTTCACCCAAAATTTTTTATTCTGTCATCATTTACTCAGCCTAATGTCATTCCAAACCTGTATGATTTTCTTTTCTGCAGAACATTAAAGAAGATGCTTTGACGAATGTTGGTAACCAAACAGTTTTGGTTTCCATTGACTTGGAAATAAATGGGAATTGAAACTGGTTACCAACATTTTTCGAAATATCTTCTTTAATGTTCCACAGAGGAAAGAAGTTCGTACAGGTTTGGAGCTATCCCTTTAAAGGAATAAATTAAAGTATATTTACATTGGCATATGTATATTTGCATAAATGATATTCAAATGATAATCTCATCGCAGGGCTGATGTGAATGCATGTGATCAGTTCAGCTGGACTTCTCTACATCATGCGGGACAGCTGGACATCATACAGCATCTGTGGATCCCTCCACCCTCAATGGAGCCACTCCCCTAATGAGAGCCATTGAGAGCTGTAGGCCGTCCTGTGTGGAGTACCTCATCAAAGCTGGGGCCAAGGTCAACGCAGTAAATAAGACAGGTACAGTTCCTTGTCTAGCAAAGAACTATTATAATACTACTTATAATGCAACACCTTGATAGATCATAAATCTACTGAAGTGTGCAAACCATGAACATCTTACAGATTTCATAACCATCTCAGTGCAGACTGTTTTTACACATTCCCACAATGCCACCTCATCTTTGCCGGAGGACTCTTATGAACACCCTGATTTACAGTGCATTAAATCTCTGAGACTGATCAGCTTTGGCTCTGCTGTCATTTGAGTCAGGAACTTTCAATCTTTTAATTGCAGAGCAAAACTGCTTGGACGTTGCCCATGCTTATGCAGACTTCAGGGTGGTGGATTTGATCCAGGCTAAGATTAATACGCTACCCAGACCTAAGGAGAATAAGAAGCCACAGCCCGTCAGAGTCCACCGCAAACTAATGCCAGCTTCAACCCCTGGCTCTATAAAAGAAAAGGTAGAACAAGTGTACTGTACGTGACTCAACATATTTATTCGACATATCGACACTCACATGAGCAAATGACAATGATTAACAAGCCAATCAATTCCTGACAAAATCAAGCCCCTCCCTAAATTTTTTGTTCATTGAGAAGCTATTTTACTCAGCTATACATTACAGTATTGAATAAAAACTTAAAACATAATATGAGGCCAGGGATGAATATTATTTTCCCTTTCATATACTTTAAAAATGCAAATTGTTTTGGTTTGTTTCAATACTACTGTAGTCCTGGACTTTATACTGACACCAATGGCATTGTTATACAGCATCACTGATGCTATTGTATAAATGTGCTATTCATATTTTTTTATCCGTGATAAATTTATTCTGCAACCAGAAGTGTCTCATAGTAGGGGGCTATCGATGCAATATCAGTATTCATCCTTATGTAGAATTAAACATGTTTTTTACATGGGTGTTTTTTTCCTTGTTCCCCACATCTGTAAAGTGACCTTGGGTTTTGGAATGGTGCTTTGAAAATTAAATTTTTTTAATTATTATTATTATTTTTCGCGACATATTTCTCAAGTACTATTCACAATAGTTCTCAATTGAAAATTAATGTGTAATTTCAAATATAAAATT